AAAGCTAAAGGTAAAGCACCAAACTGAAGATGATATGCTGCAAGGATCGAGTGCCAGCTTTGAGAAAGCTGGCATACACTAGGTTAAAAGACCATTATATGGTGCTGTGTCTTCAATAAGTAGAATATATGGCTTTGGGATCCAAGGAGGTGAGGTAGAAGTGGCCTTGCTTACCAATATGTCCCCTTTGGGACTTTGTGCTTCCAATCTCCCAGTGGGTAAAAGAAGAATGGGTTTGCTCTCAGGGATATGTCTTGAGACGTTTTTGTCCAATTCTAGTAGTAAATGGACAAGCTTGGTAGTCACAGCTTGAGAAGGGCATGGTGACTTAGAATTCAAATTTGTCAAGGATGTAGATCTGATTCACGCCACAAAAAAAGCCACCCAGACCAGCAGAGCTACTAGCCAAGGGTGAAATCATCTGGAATGGGTGGTAGAAAGAAAGAGATGATAAGAATCAGTCATTAACTTGCAGCCATTTAGAATGGTGGTGTCTGTAGATCATCCTACTAACTTTTGTCTTGATCAGTCAGAATCCTAGTCCAGGTGTGGTGGCTCACACCTGTAATCCTAGCACTTTGGGAGGCTGAGGTGGGAGGATTGCTTGAGGCCAGGAGTTCAAGACCAACTAAGAGAGACCCTGTCTCTACAAAAAGTAGAAAAATTAGCCAGCCATGGTGGTGTGCACCTGTAGTTCCAGCTACTCAGAAGGCTGGGGCAGGAAGATCGCTTGAGCCCAGGAGTTTGAAGTTGCAGTGTGCTGTGATAACATCACTGCATTCCAGCCTGGGTGACAGAGTGAGACCCTGTTTCCAAAAAAAAAACAAAAAACAAAATCAAAATCCTAGAGAAGCTGGTCCCAGATGCAGTGAACTTACTAAAAGAAGCAAATGGTCTCCATGAGTGCAAATTGCAGAGCTATGATGATCCCACTGCACTCTAGCCCAGGGGATGAAGCAAATGGTACAAGGGGTAGAAACCATACTGTGGCTCATTGACTGGATTGCTCCCTTCAGACCATGCAGTAGTTAGCCCAGCTGCCATAGGTGTCGACTGCTGATGCTTCTTCACAGCAGGCTCCCTCTCTGGGCGTGTTCTTGACCAAAGGGAGGGCCTTACCCAGGTTTATACCCCCTTCCCAACAAAATCCACATCTAATCAATGATTTCTGCAGGCTATGAAGGCCTGGCCACTTTGTCTCAATTCACAACAACTCTGAAGGACCATCCCAGCTCCAGAGGTCCCCAGAGAATGACCTGAAGTCTCTGTTAAAGCTGCATCACCTCATTGGTCAATTTCTCCCTCTGGCCAGTTCTGCTTCCCTCACTTCCTTACCTATATTATTTCTAAAAACATCCCTTAATAAAATTCATGCACAGAAATCTCCATCTCAGAGCTTATTTCCAGGGAACTTTCCTTAAGACAACTCTAAACTTCTTCATCCTTCAGTCAGAGTGAAATACTAGAAAGAAATATATTAACTCACTGTGTTATTTGCAGCACTAGGATGGTTCTGGTTTAGTTTGGTGGAATATTTCCATCCCCTTATTTCTTGCCTATTATAGACCCAAGACAGGCCTCCCTGTCTTCATTTCCTTATTCAAACTGCTTCTCCCTCCTCCATATTTCATATTTTTTTGTCTGTTTGTTTTACTCACATTTATTTATTGAAGGATGAACGTAGTGCATAGGTGCACTAATAAGTATACACCTTGATGATTTTACATGTGCATCTCTTCCTGTGGTCACTACGCAGATCAAGATATGGAACTTTCTAGCACCTCTTAAGTTTCCCTCATACCCTTTCCCATTCTATATCCATTTTCCATTCCTACAGCGATAACCACTATTCTGAATTTTATCATCATTAGTTAGTTTTGATGCTTCTTGAACTTCAAATGAATGTAATCATATAGTGTCTAGTGTTTTGTGTCTGGCTTTTTTTCACTGAATATAATTGCTGTAAGATTCATTTATGTTGCTGTGTATTCCAGTAGTTTGCTCTTTTTAATAACTCTGTAGGTTTCCACTGTTTGAATGTGCTACTATTTATTAATTTTCCTGTCGGTGGCATTTGGGTTCTTTCAGTTTGGAGATACTATGTATAAAACTTCTATGGACACTCTCATGCATATATTTTTGTGGACATATGTGTTTATTTCTCTAAAGTATACATCTAAGTATGAATTGCTGGTTCATAGCATAAGCACATGTTAGCTTTAGCAGAAACTGTCAAATAGTTATCTGCAGTGCTTGTGCTATTTGACATTCCAACTAGGAATATATGAGAGTTCCTGTTGATTCACATCCTCACTCACACTTGGTATTGTTAGACTTTTTAAATTTTTGCTATTTTGATCTTTGTGCAGAGATAATTTATGGTTTTAGTTTGCATTTCTCTGATGACTAAGGAGGGTATGCTCATTTTCATTTGCTTTGCTATTTTGGCTAGTCTCTTTTGAAGCTATCTTTTGCCCATTTTTGGCACACACTACTGTTTTCTGAAATTTCACATTCTGGTTGGGAAAGAATGGATTTAAATAATAATGAGAAGAATCAAGAATAGGCAGACTTTATCTCAATTTAAGAATGAATTTTATAACAATTAGAGCTACGAGCAATGAATGGGGTGCCTTGGGAAGCTGTGGAAGAAAATGAAATACCAGACTGATGGAAGGAGAAATATAGGTTTCAGCATTATAAGTCCATGACATGAAAAGATTCTGTTGGGGGAGTGACATCAGCAAGATGGTCAATTAGAAGCCCCTACCATTTTCCCTCCCCACTCCACAGACAGCCAGAATAATGAATAAACAACCACATTTTAATGAAAATAACTTAAGGAGAGCACTGGAGTGAATTAGAGGAGTAACAGAAACCCTGGTGAGTATAGCATTTGGGATAGCCACATGGAGAACAGAAGAAATGCCGGGACTCCAGCACCCCATCTGCCAGATGGGGTCAGCTGGGACTCAAGAAAAAGAAATTCTTTTTAGGGTGCAAAGTTAAGAAGGAGGACCCCAGCACACCTTAGACCTCACCACTGGGGTCCCTGCATCTCACACAGGCTCTAAGCTCAGCTAAGGGAGCTTTCTGGAGTCCACATAGCTGTGCTCCCCCAGAGAAGGAGCTGACACTGTGCCCACCCCGTTGGCCCACACAGCTTCTATGCTAAATCATCTTGGAAGTGGAACTATGGCTGCAGTCTGTCTTGCTCTGGAGGTGAGTAGCTATGCCTCCCCTTCATCCCTGAGGCTGCTGAACCACTCCAGCCTGGTGGCCCAACATCCCAAGCCAAGCTGCGGCCCTTTATCATGGGGCAAAATGGAAGTGGAGCCATTCCACCTACCCCTCTCCCCATCTACTCTGGCCAAGAGCGAAGCAGTGCCCTGCCTCCTGGGAAAACAATATATTGGCTGCTCAGAGCAGTCATGCTCCCTGGTGCCTAAGTGAAGCAAAAACCTGCATCCGAAGAAACATTGCTTCATTTTCCACAGAGGTCACTAACCCTAGTACCTAACCTGAAGTGGCATCATGCAACCCAGAACAGTGCCTAGCTTCCCATAACAGTCATGCCCCCAAGCCTGAGGTGAGTTGGCAATTACCCCTGAAGAATCAGTGCCCTGGCCAAGCTGAACGCTACATATCCCAAGCTGAGGCAAATGCACTACCCCATGTCCCAGAGGAAACAGAGCTGAAACACGACCCTATAGGCCGATAACTCTAGTGCACTGCTTCCCCAGAAGCTGACTAACCACTTAGAGTCTGAGACACCCATCTCCCTGAGAAGTGGAGTCATGAGTGCTATTTCTACACTGGACCCAAAGTTCAATGCAATCCCCACAAAATACAATGACAATTCTTCACAGCAGTAGAAAAAAAATTCAAATTCATATGAAATTCAAAAAAGCCTGGAATAGCCATAACACATCTGAGAAAAAAGAAACAATTGAGACCATCACTACCAACTTCAAAATATACTACATAGCCATAGTAATCAAAACAGCATAGTATTGCATAAAATCATACAATAACCAATAAAAGAATAGAAGACCAAATAATTCATGGTATTGTAAAAAAGGAGCTGATTTTGACAAAACATCATGAACATTCAACGTGGAAGGCCAGTCTCTTCAGTAAATGGTGCTTGATAAAAATATATCATATATAGAAGAGAAACTAGATACCATCTTCTCATATAATAAAAATAACTAAATTTAAGACTTAACTTTAAAGACTGAACCAACTATAGAAGAAAACATGAGACAATGCTTCAGGATAATGGTTTGGGCCAAAGATTTTAAGTAGAGAGCCTCAAAAATCACAGAACAGAACAAAATAACAATGGAATTAATCAACTAAAAGCTTCTGCACAGCAGAATAAACAGACATTGTCAGACTGGAGAAAAATTGTAAACTATCACCTGACAGGTTTACATCAAAATACACAAGGGATTCAAACACTCAATAGCAAATAATAATAATAAACCAAAAGAATCAATTTAAAAATGGAAAATGAGCTACTGGACACATGCAAATAAGACATCAAATGCCATAGGTATATGAAAAATGCTCCAATCAGAGAATTAATCAAGAAATCACATCCAATAACCAATGAAGGTATCATGTCACCCCAGTTAAAATGATATTATCAAAATGACAAAAAAATAACAAATCTGGCAATGATGTTAGAGAAAGGGAATCTTTATACACTGTT